GAAAGGAAAGGAAAGGAAAGGAAAGGAAAGGAAAGGAAAGGAAAGGAAAGGAAAGGAAAGGAAAGGAAAGGAAAGGAAATTACTGCACCCTAGTCTGGAAGCAGGGTCTACTCCAAGGTGTCTTGGTTTATAGCTAAAACTTAAAATACAACCAAAATTGCAGTGAACAAGACACTGGGAGGGTACAGTTCATGACTGAGCAGAACAAACCTTGTAATTTGAAGACTTGAACTGGAACTTACTTAACAGAAGCATTGCCTAGATTTCTCAATGAATACAACTGTGTATTTGTTTATAAAACAGCTCCCAGAATCTTTTGCTGCTTATGATGCGAAGTGGTTGGTCCACTGGTATTGTACACTCTCAGGAAAGAGGACACTTGAGATGTTAACACTTAGTACACAAGGCACTTTTCACATAATTATAGCCTCCACCTTCTGCTGTGGCTTAAAAATAGAAGGTTTTAAGAGATCATTCAGTCCCCCATGCAGCCCAGACTAGATGAATTCGCTACTAAGGGCCACGAACAAGTACATTTCTCAGATGAATTATTTCGAGATTTCATGAGGATCTGAAACATATCTTACACATTGGGAAATGCACTAAAACAAAAAGGGTTGCAGCATTCAGAATGCACTAAGAATATTTACTGTTGTTGTAAAAATTACCACCTCTTTCTTAAATTTCAGACTGATTTGGCATTTAGAGAAATGGAGTACTGTATAATTAATTGTAGAATGCACACATGCACACATAAACACACATACTAACTTCCTGCCAAACTGAATTGCTGTGTGACCCACAAAGAAGCATGTATTTGATATTTCAAGTTTCATTTATTAATCGTTTACATGCTGCCTTAAGTAATTTTGGAAGATTAACTTACCAGGTGCTGACCCGACAGTGGTAGTGACCCAATGCTTGTAATTGCTCCCTAATTGGCAAAGTTGTCACTTCTCGTGTGGCAGCTGCAGTGAATTTAGAAAACGTGGAGGGACAGTGTTCCAAATGACTTAAGAAAGAGAACAGGAACAATCACTTCATTCTGTTTTTTTTCTTCTTCTCTCAGATGAGTTCTGTACCTTCAGAAAGAAGGAAGGAAGGGAGGGGAGAGGAAGTCAACAACCCTTAGCTTTCCTGCAAAAAAATAAGGAAATGGCAGATAGCAATCTCATTTTCTCAAAATGTTTGGAAAAATAAACCAAAGGAAAAGAAATTCCTCAAGTATTATATCTTTATGATGGATTTCATAGGGTGAAATTTATAACTCAATGGGTGGAATGCCATCAAAATGAACACAATGTTCCAAATACAGAGCCTTGTTTTGGGAATCAGATGCCCATATCTAGAAACTGCTGCTTGCCTAAGAATAAAAACAATGAAAAAGAGAGAGAGTGATTCAAAGATGGATCAGCCCCTCCACCTATACTACACACACTTGAAATACCATTCTCAGTGCCAATTAAAGTGTATATGAACCTATAAATATATGTATAGAAATAAAGTGGGGTTTTGAGAGTAGAGTAGGTCCATTCAAACTATAATTATAAGCCAGAGTTTCATATGTTACCATGCAGTAATTTCTTATTAACTTTTCCGGTTTGGGGCCCTCCAGAAGTGCCAACTAGATTGAAAAGTCGAAATGCAATCCAGACAACACTGGAAAGTATCTATTGGAAAGCAGGCTTGGGGGCTGGAAATTCAGACTATGCTGCATCAGGGTCTGCTTCTCCTGAAAGAGCGATTGAAGGTACTGGATATCACCTAGAAAGCCTTACATGGCTCAGGGTCTGAGTATCTTCAAGACCTCTTTCAGGAGGACAGACACTTGCTGAAGGTCCCCACCTATCAGGAGGTGTGACAGGAGGGGAGCCAAAAGAGGGCATTCTATGTGGAGGCTCCTCTCCTCTGAAACAGCTGGCCACCCAAGGCAAGGGTGGCCCCCACTCTCATGGTCTTCTGGGACCTTGTAAAAACCTGGCTGTTGCAGAAAGCCTTTAGGACTTAGGTGCTATAGAACTCCCAGTTGCAGGAACATTATACAAATTATAATTTTTACCATAATTTTACAGTGTATTTCTGTTTTGTATGTTATTATATGTTTGACTTAGAGCAGCATTGACTGAAGTGCTTTATAAATTCATAACTAAATGAATGGATAGTTGGCTATGGTCTACACACCACCCTTGAACTCCAACTGTCTCTGGATCTCCAGATGGTGATGATAGCATGAAGTACATTTCCAAAATTATCTTTAGAGTGTTAGCTGTTCCCATTCCTATACTATTGCAATTCACTGTACATGGGGCTTGCTTTGAAGAAAGTCCAGAAACTTCAGATAATACAAAATCACCAACCAAATGAAAGTACAGTGATGTGATCCAATCATGTCAAGATGAAAGATCTGCCTTGGTTGCTCATTACTTTCTTGGCAGAAACCACAGGATTGATTGTAGCCTTTAGAACCTGAAGCCTTTAGAACTTAGATTGAGTAGGGATTGACTAGCTGATGGACTGCATCTCCAATTATGATCCTGTCTGGACACTTAAGTACGCAGGGGAAATCCTCTTAAAGATATCTGCATTTTCAAAGGTTTTTTTGTTAAGCACATGGTAAATAGATTTCTCCTACCTTCCTCCCAAATTATAAAATGCACTCCCTTGAAGCTCATTTCCCCATCTTTTAAATTTGTTTTTGATTTAATTTTAATATTCATGTATTTGTATTATGTCGTGTATGTGTGTGTGTGTGTGTGTTGGATGGAAAGGTGGAATATAAATCAATAAATACAAATAAATCTAACAATATATTTCAGATAAGACTGCTGAGATAGTTAAGACTGCTGGGAAACACTAGAAGTAGTTTCATCCCATCTTCCTGATATCCCAGTGATATCCCACCACTTTAAAGTCAGATCATTTTCAATATATATTGAGTAGCAAACTTCAAAGCAGTTAGAGGCCCTCAGCCAGAACAATCACATACAGTAGGTGAACATCAGCAGAGCTCTTCAGTCTGTAGCATTTCCTCAAAATATACAAAAGGGGAAAACAAGTTTAAAGAGGGTATTTTTGTAGCACAGTTTGCTTAGACTAGCATTGTTGAATGGAAGAACATTCTCCTGAATCACATGGGAGGTGGGTAGAGCGGAAAGAGTCGAGACTTAATTAGGGAATCTTAGCACAGGACTTTCTAAGTGTACCTTTTTTCCATAATGATTAAGATTACTGTGAGTGAATATAACACATATTTATTCTATACCGTTTATTATATACTGGTCTAATTCTTTTCAGAGCAAAATACAGAAATATATTAAAAATAATAAAGAAAAGGAAAGGAAACAGAGCACTGCATGTTGCAGCACTGAAGAAATGTCTCTGGCTGGGTAACATTGCAGAAAAAACAACTCCCTGTTCATAGATAATAAGACATCAGGAAGAAACCTGGGCTATCATCTCTTCCCTTGATAGGCTAGCTTTCCAGAAGCAGTAAGACTATTGTTACAAAGGAATATTTAACCATGTGATTTTACCATGTTTCTTTACAAAAGGCTGGAAAGGTGCTGGTTTTGACCTTTAAAGCCCTACATGGCATGGGGCCGGGTTATTTGAGGGACTGCCTCTCCCCGGCTACATCTACCCATCCCACCAGGTCTGGCAGGAGGGACATGTTACAGGTCCCATCTGTGAAGGACTTCCATCTGGTGGGACCCAGGTGGTGAGCTTTCTCTGCCATGGCACCCACCCTTTGGAACATTATCTCCCCCCCACCTGAGGTAAGATTGGCCCCGACCATATTGACTTTCTGGAAATCCTTAAAACTTGGTTTTGTCAGCAGGCTCAGGGAGCCCATGAAATGGTTATATTGCATGTAAGACCTTGAATGCATTCTCTCATAGCTTTGTTTATGTTTTTAACTGTTAATGGTTTTTAAGGTCGTTTTTAATTGTTTTGTTTTTACCATACGCCACCCAGAATCACATTTGTGAGATGGGCGGCTATATAAATTTGATAAATAAATAAAATAGCATGATTGTACAGTGCTAGTATTTAAACTCCATTAGTGAGTCATGTTCACACTGTGCCATAACTTATTTTACTTCTAAAGGGGGTTAAGTATCATCATTAAAAAAAATAATATACTGTATCAAAATGTGCAAGAGCTGGGCATGAAAATTGGCTCCATATCAGTACAATGGGAAATGCTTGCTATTTAATTCATCTTCTGAAGGCTGCCAAAGCAGTGGAGGTGGTAAAGGAAGCATGGAGGACAAGACACAAAACATGGCTAGACAGTTATATATGATGAAATATGAAGTGTAGGCAGCAGTTCTGTCCGATACATCAAACTACTGGCAATTCTGTTCAGTCAGCCTTTCTAGCAATGTTCTCTGGTTTCCCAGCCAGTACAGCAGCTGCAATCACAAGTTGCCAGGTTGGAGAACACTCTGTAAGTCAGCTTAAAAGCTCACCCCTTTAAGAGGGCAGAAAAAGGAATGGCAAGCTAGCACTTATCTGAACGAGTGGAGACAACGATGCAGCCATGACCGAAGGACCAGTAAGTAGACCAGTCCCATGGATAAGGAGAGGATGGGAAATTGCCTCCTTGTATTCCAGATGGCTGTTCCTCACAAGGAGACCACAGGATAGCCATTTCCTGTAGGTCTGAGTGCCAGGAGACGAAGGGAAGCCATCATGCTCTCAACTGCAGCAGAGCCTTTTTAATGACACTGGGTTCACTAACCTCACTTTCTAAACACTTTCAGAAATTACCTATTGAACTATCTTAAGGCTAATAGAGATCTTCAAAACAACAAGTTTGCAAAGCCACCTGGTAAGTTTATATTCATTCTAGAACAAAAGAAAAATTAACTATAAGCTGAAGAATCTAAATAATTTGAAATAAATGGGAAAAGCTAATTCAAGAAATTTATAAAAAATGAAAGGACCAGACAAATTTGGAATATTAGGACTTTTGCCATTAGATTTTGGAAATAATTATATAAATAAACAGCACCTTCATGGAAACTAAATTGTTTAGTCTACCTTAAGTCATAACAGAAATTTATGATTTTATGACTTTATGATTTCAGAAATTGGACAGTAGAGGGGACTAAAGATTCCAGGTATAAAAGGGGGGAAAAAATAGAGACAGGCTTGCCTTTTGTCTTTGGTCAGCATTGGACAAAATGACAGAAAATGGTATGTGTCAGGCCCAGCCCATGAACAATGATGAAACAGTCCAGTCTAGTACAGTTCCTTTATTTGTTTACACCTTATAGACAGAATCTTGCCAAACTAAATCTATACTACAGCAACTAGTGGATATATCCTGAGGTTCTAGGGAATGGCTATCCTCCAGTCTAGTACAGTTCCTTTATTTGTTTACACCTTATAGACAGAATCTTGCCAAACTAAATCTATACTACAGCAACTAGTGGATATATCCTGAGGTTCTAGGGAATGGCTATCCTGAATCTCTTACTCTTCTCATGCTCCCCCTGCAGACTATGCTGCCTCTTGTCTCCTTTCCCCTCCTGGAATGTACCCCCTCCTTCCTAATAGCCTTGATCTACCACATCACTCTCCTCCTCGTAGGTACATTCCATCACAGTATGACAGTTGAAATACTCCAGGAGATATTTGAAGAGTGGGGACAGAAACTAGCAGCTACAATGGCAGCAATGTTCTCTGCTTCTATTGCTAGACTATGTCCAGAAGATAACAAAAAAGAAATGACAGATCTGAAAGAGATACCTAGGAAGATCTACAGCATAAAGAGCTGAAACAAGCCTTATCTGATGTAGAAAAATTAGAATATAAAAAAATTGTTGAAATACTAGAAAATGAAAACATTGTGGATTATAAGATAAAGATGACAGTTAAAGTAGAAATACAAATGATAAGCCAAGAAAATGACTTGGACAGTGATTCCTTACTGGATTTACAAAAAAGGTTTGTTAAAACCTTGAAAAAGCCTCTGAAATGGGAAATAGGAAATGTGAAGAGAAATCAAATCCT